GCCACATTCCCAGCCCTGTTTTGTATTTTATTTAGAGACAGGGTCTCACTGAGTTGCTAGGAGACTCACCATTGCTGAGGTGGCTTTGAACCCATGATCCTCCTGTCTCAGCCTCCCGACCCACTGGGATTACAGGTGTATGCCACTGCACCCGGCCAGACATTTTCTTAAAAATGTAAAAATGATCTGGGGATGGTGGCATGTGCTTATTTGCAATCCCTCCTACCATGAAGGTTGAGGCAGGAAGATCACATATTCAAGACCAACTGGATCAAAATAAAAATTTTAAAAAGGGCTGGGGATRTAGCTCAGTGGTAGAGCACTTGCATAGCATTCACAAAGTCCTCTGTTCAGTCCCTAGTCTAAAAAAAAAGAAGAAAATAAAAAGATAAAATGAGCTTGAGGCTATATTTCATGGAAAACAACATGACAATATTTGTTGCCAATGATAAAACTTGAGCTTGCAAACAAATGTTAAAATTTTTTAAATGTATATCCATATCAGAAGTTTGAGAGCTTCCTAAAACATGAAAAAAAAATCTGATAAGACCAGCAATCATATTAAAATAATTTTCTTTGGCATTGTATAATAAAACATTTCAACATTTGGAAGATATATATTACTTCCAATGGTCAGTCCTCCTAAATGGTCAATTCATGATATTACAATATTGTACATGGTAGATGACTCATTCAAAGTGAAAGTTAAACCAATGGATTTTAAGAATTAAAAAAAAAAAAAAAAACACTTCTAAGGTTTCAGATCCCATACTGGAATTAACCTTTAATTTCTTAACTAAAACTATTGAGTTTTTATGTAGTCTCAAAGAAGAATACACATAATTATCTGAAAACATTATTAAGGTATCTCTTTTTCTAACTACCTATATGAAGATAGATTTCCTTCATACAACTCAACCAAAACATCTCAACAGACTGCAGAAGTATATATGAAAACCTAGCTGCCTTTTATTAAGAAAGTTGTTTTTCTTTGGATTCTCAATAAAGTTTAAGAGTACAATGGGGTTCTCAGCACCACCGTCTTAGGACTACTATGTAACATCACTGAGAAAGGTCTAAGAGTTTTAGCAGGAAGACATTCACATACAGGCTATAAGCAGGTTTAAGTTTCTGTAACAGGTAAGAGGCTGGATTATAACTTCACAGCATTACTTTTTTTATTAAAACATATTAAATAACATCTGAGTGATATCTGAGCACAAACCCTCTTCTTTCTCACATTTTTTTCTCTTAATCTCGCATCTAAGATTCTTAGTTTGCTAAATTACATCCATTATTTTCTTAGATTCTCACTTCACAGCAAAGTTTGAAGTCCCACCTGTTTTTTCTTAATTGGTCAAATTATATAGTCATCCACCACACCTCCCTCAAAAGGAGGAACTCAATCTTAAAAATCACTAATTTGGGGCTGGGGATGTGGCTCAAGCTGTAGTGCGCTCGCCTGGCATGCCTGCATCCCGGGTTCGATCCTCAGCACCACATACAAACAAAGATGTTGTGTCTGCCAAGAACTAATATATATATATATATATATATTTTTTTAAAAATTCTCTCTCTCTCTCTCTCTTAAAAAAAAACAATCACTAATTTAAGGGACTGGAGTTGTGGCTCAGTGGTAGAGCACTTGCCTGGCCTGTGTGAGGCCCTGGGTTCCATCCTCAGCACCACATATAAACACATAAATAAAATAAAAGACCCATTTACAACTAAAAAAAAAAAAATTTTAATCACTAATTTGAGTACAAAAGTCCTTTTACAAACTAGCTTTCCACAAAACAGCATTATTTGTCAAGCACTCTATCCCATAAATATTAACATATTTACAGAAAAACATAAAACCAAATAAAATCATTCACACACCATATTATAATGAACCGATTAAAAATGGATTAACTTCTGAAATGATGTTAATCATACTACTGGAGAAAAACAGAAGGTTTAAACATTTGGGTTTACATCTATATTTAAATGTAAAACTTCTTTAACCAAATTAGCTAATTACCAATGCTTTGGGGGACCGGGTGGGTAAGTGTTAAGGAAGTTCATGAGAGAACATGAACTGAACATCTYGCGGCAGTGATTATTTGTAGATTTATCAAGACTTCTTAACAGTGACTTTTCCTTTCCCACCCGAACGGAAAGACAAAACTGGCAGCTTGGAAGCCCAACGGTATAGGACGGTCCGGTCTGAAAACTCAACTCTATTAGTAATCAAGGCCCAAGGCATTAGCTTTACCTGGCACTTTTCTCCTAAACCTATTTAACAACAAGGCCGATTTACAGGTGATAAAGTCACCTCGGTTCAAAGTCTAGGGCACATCAGATCAGCCAGCAATGAACCTAAGGGCCCCAGAGCCAGCAAGGGTGGCGCTGGGGTAGGGAAGGCGGGTCGCCCAGGAAGTGGGGGTGGGTGCTGGGCCAGATACTCGAACTGCCACTCTTCACCCGACTCCCCTCTTCCCACCTAATCCAGGGAAGCTGGGTGAGCGGGCCGGGTCGCCAGGCCCCAGGAGAACGAAGCAGAGGGCGGTGGGTGAGGATGACAGATTCAGGGATCAGCGCTCCCCCTCCCGCACTCGGCCGCAGCCTCCGGGRCGCCTCGCCGGACGCGGGGCACCCAGGAAACAGAGCCGGGACCATCTCGAGACCCCCGCCCGCAGGCCTGCCGCCACCGCCTGGCTCCGGCTTCCCGCTAAGCTCCCGCGGATCCCCGGGGACCTGAGGGGAGGGGGCCTTGAAGTCGGTCCTTACCACACTACCCCTCCTACGAGATCCGCGCTTGTCGCAGCCTTGTCCTGGCAAAGTCAGTCCCCTCCACCCGGCAGGACCAGCCGTGGCACTACAATCAGGGCCGGCGCCGCCCCGCCCCCGACCTCCTTGAGGACCTCGGCCCCGCCAACATGGCTGGTGCCGCCTCTGCCACGTCAAGGGGGCGGGGGGGGGAGTAGTCAGGGAAGGGGCGGGGCGGTGGGGCGGGGCTAAAAGGCGTCAGTGAGCCGGTACCGAGCTGAAGGGACCCGGCGACTTGGACCCGGGAGCTAAAGGTTAAAATGATGTGCGGCTGGGAACCCGACGAAAAGGGATGAATGGGAGAGGGGACCGGAACGGAGCCTTAGGGGTGGGTCGACCAGAACAACCCTGGCAAGGGAGCAAGGGAGTGGGGCGGGCAAGTAGAGCGACCTTCCCCTCTCGGGAGCCGCGGCATGCCCACTCCCTGCAGGTCGCAGGAAGGGTGGATAACTGTACTAGGCACTCCAGACACCTCGGCGACAGAAATGAAGACGTCCTTTAGAGCATCCTCTCCTCTAGGACCCTGATTGATTCTGAAAACCAGAAACCACACATCTGGAAAAAAAAAAAAAAGTGAAAAGTTCCTTCTTTACTTGATGCAACAAATATTTACTGAACATCTATGTGCAGCGCACCAGTTGAGATGCTGATAATATGATGGAAGCAAAATAAGCCTAAATCCCTGATCTGGCAGAATTTACACACTATGTATCTCTCTTTTCCTCCTAGTTCTGCCACCTATCTCCACCTACCCCATAGCCTCAAACACACACACACACACACACACACACACACACACACACACTACAATCTTTGGCTGATTATTCTTGATAAGTTTGCTACTTTTTTTTTTTTCAAAAAAAATGCTGAAAAAATGAGACAGAAAAGGTTGGGAAAACATTCAATTTTGGTGGTATCAGGCACACCTAATTTTTCCATGAGGGCCTGCTCATGAAATTAGTTCCAGATATGATTACAATAAAATTCTACAAAGCTCAGACCTCTCAGCATTTTATGGACTAAAAAAACAGAAATCAAAGTTCTTTAATTCTTATATTCATGAGAAATAACATCAAACAGAGCTGGGAATATAACTTAGTAGTAGAATGCTTGCCTAGCAAGTGTGAAGACCTGAATTTAATCCCAGTAATAGAGTAAGAGGATAGAACCAAATATAATGTATATGTTAAGAGTGTTTTACAAAATGGGAAAGGATACATTTGCTTAACAAATTTTAATACAAGCCTAAAAAGGGAATGAAATCAAAAGCCAAAATTCAGTTTAAGTCTGCAAATAAAGTGGATTCAGAGTACCAATTTAAGAATGATTCTTGACTGAATACAACATGTAAATAACAATGGGCAATGTCATAAGGTTGAAATAAGGGCGTTCACCCAAAAAAATAAGATCCAAGAATAAATAGGGTAAATAGATACGCATCTGGGTCTACTCAGCCTATTATATCAAAAATCATTAACAGGACACTTAATAAACTACAAAAATTTACTTCTCATAGTCTGGAGGTTGAGAAATCCAAGATCAAAATACAAGATAATGAGGTGTGTGGTGAGGGCCTTCTAGCTATGTCTTCACATGATGGAAGGGGCAAGCTAACTCTCTGAGGTCTCTTTTTTTTATTTTTCTGTTACATTTTTTAAATTGATTTTTTTAAAAAATAAATGACAACAGAATGCATTACAATTCTTATTACACATATACAGCACAGTTTTTCATATCTCTGGTTATATATAAAGTATGTTCACACCAATTCGTTTCTTCATACATGTACTTTGGATAATGATGTCCATCACATTCTACTATAATTGCTAACCCCCTGCCCCCTCCTTTCCCCTC